GCCGGCTGGGGGCCAGCAGCGTGTGCGCGCAGTCGAGGATGAGAAGAGCGCTTGCGAGGCTCATCTGCGTGGAAACAGGCAGGGGTAGAGGCCCCTCAACAGCGCCCACGCCACCTGGCCTGCCCTCTGGGAGGGACACCACACGCCAGGCGGGGAGGACGGGCCAGGTCCGGATCCGGATCGGCACCAACTTCACAAGTGACAGTAACTCCCCAGAGTCTGTCCCCAGACCCGTAACATGACCAGAGGAGAATAACGGCCTCTGCAAGCTAAGCGAGTCCCAGGGAACGTGGCTGGGCCGTTTGCTGCTGGCGGAGGTGACCCACATCGAAACGGTGACCTTCTGCCTGAACCGAACCCGCCTGCGGGTGCTCACGGGGCCCTCACAGGACTCCGGAGCTGCCCGAGGTCCCTGTGAGGGAAGCAGCAGGGACACACCTGGACCAAGGGACTCACCTTGTTGGGGAAGCGCAGCAGGTCCCTCAGCAGGAGGACAGAGTCGGCCGCTTCCTCCTGACCAGGAGAAACGGAAATGACAAGATGACAAGGCAGGGAGTCAGCCGTCAGTCACGGCCGCACGACTCAGCTCGCTGCGCGGAGATGGAGCAGACCCCACGTTTGGGCTCAAAGGGAGGCTGACATGGGAGAGACCATCACCTCGGTCCCACGTTTTCCAGCCTATGTGGCCCCCCTGCCCTGTGCCCCCACCCCATCAGGAAACCCATCAGGAGGGGACCCGAGGGCTCAGGGACCAGAGTACAGCAGGGGGAGCTGGTCCCTGAGCCCCATGGTGACAATGGAGAGTGCCCTTAGATGTGGCTGTTGTTGCCATGGTGACAATGGAGTGTGCCCTTAGATGCTGTTTATTGCCATGGTGACAATGAAGTGTGCCCTTAGATGTGGCTGTTGTTGCCATGGTGACAATGGAGTGTGCCCTTAGATTGGCTGTCCTCGCCATGGTGATGCCATAGTGACGATGGCGTAGATGTGACTATCCTCTGTGACAGTGGCAGGACGGAGGCACAGCCATGCTGGCGAGGACAGTGCCACAGCAGTACGTGGTCGCTGCCCTGGAAGCCACAGAATCGTAAGCCTCACTGCGGTGCCGTTGTTACCAGGCGGGATCGGGTTGGGTTTATATCATTTTCTCCTACGTGGCTGATGTGGGTCTCTAGTAACCAGCCCACTGGTCTGTGAGACGTGTGCACAAGTGAGAGCCACAGCCCCACGTCAGCGTGCAGGCCGGCCCACCAGTCTCATGACTGATGGTACCTCACAGCACGACCACTTGCTAGCGAGCTGACCAGTCTCAGTCCCTGCTGCACAGACAGACCTACAGACACGCTGGGCCATACCTGGTCCTGGGAAGCTAATCTGCAGATTGAGGAAATGAACGCGTCCTGGATTCGGGACCACTGGCCACAGGAGGGGCTCCCGCCCTCCCTAGCCCAGCGACTCAGGACCCCGGTGGTCACGGCGACGTAGTTCCTGATTTCCGTGTCACTGCCCATCTGTTGGAGGGTGGAGAGGCTCCTCAGGCTAGCATTGTACCTGAAGGACACAGAGCAGTTACCATGATCGTCCAACACGTTCAAAATGCTCCGGCCCACCCACCGCAAGTGTGGTATTCACGACAGAAACACTCTGGGGCGGGTCTGTGCAGAGGAAACGGAAAAGACACAGGGAGGAGTCACATCAAATCCTATGAACCTCCTTTATCAGAGCTGAACAGGCCCAAGAGCCACACAGAGTGACACAGACACACGGCAGGTGAAGGGAGTCAGTGCCGAGCTGGTCAGGAGACCCCGACAGCTGCAGGGGCTGGTGGTCCCATAGGCAGAGGTGATGAGCAGCACCCAGACCCACAGAGAGGATGGGATGATGCACATGGCCACGTGCGGTCAGTCCAGGAACATAGGAGTGATTCAGGGTGAAACCAATCTATGAAATGCACCAGGTCAGCAGGCGGAAGCACAAGCCCTCGTGATCATCTCAATGGATCTAGCAGAGCACTGACAAAATCCAACGGCCTTGGTGATAAAATCACCCAAATCCACGAGTGCAGGGCCTTCTCCCACCTGCTCACAGGCATCCGTGGAGAACCTACATCAGCGCCACCCAAAGAGAGGCTGCGGGCGGACTGCCGCCTGCCCAGGCCTGGGGCAGGACCAGGATCTCGGCCTCTGCCACGTCTGCTCAGCGGAAAAAGCAGCAGGAGTGCGCAGCCGAGAGGGAGTGACACCCTCTCTCATCACAGGTGGCACGTCTCATTCACAGAAAACCCCACGGAATATGCTAGAAGCCCACCAGAGCTAGCGAGTGAGTGGAAGGCTGCAGGACACACGATCCACACGCAAGTATCAGTGTACACTATGGAAAACTCCAAATAACTATGAAAACAAGTCCATCTGTAGTAACATCAAAAAGAACAAAATACTTATGATCCATTTAACAAAAAGTTCAACGTTTGTACCCGAAAAATGTAAGATGTGACTGAGGAAAGCAAAGATCTAAGTACGTGGGAAACTGCTCCTGGTTAGAAGGCTCATGTTGCCAAGGCAGCAATGTTCCCAAGGTGACATCCAGGCTCCGGGCAACCCATCAACAGCCCAGGGGCTTGTTGGTAGAAACGGACCAACTATTAACCAGGAGGCTCAGAGTAACCACAACAACGCTGAAGACGCAGACTCAGCTGCGGGTTCATGCTCCCCATTTCAAAGGTTACTTCGCACTCAGCAGTTGGACAGTGTGGTCCTGGTGTAAGAGAGACTTGAAGGTCAATGGAATAGCATTGACAGCCCAGAAATAGACACTAACGCTTGTGGCCCACTGAATTCTGACAAAGGGACGAAGACAGTTCGGGGGAGGGCACCTTTCCGGCCTGTGGAGCTGGGACACTGCTTGGCTACGTGCAGAAGCGCAGGCCTGGAGCCTGCCTCGCACCACACGCCCCAGCTCCAAGGCTCAGCTCCGTGAGTGAGACCGCGAGGCTCTCAGAAGAGGGCAGGAGTGACCTTCCTGGCCGGGGGTGGGTGGTAATTTCTTAAATGCACCAAAAGCACCAGCAGTAAGAGAACAGGTTGGACTTCATCAAACTTAAAACTTTTGTGCGTCCGTGACACCACATGGAAGAAAAAACCCAACTCGCGGCGGGAGAAATGTGCACAAGTCACTTCCCTGACGAGGGACGTCGCCAGAACATGAGGGACTCGCAGCCTCAGTCATGGAGAGACAGCCTGTGAAGACCACGGTGTCAGAACAGACAGCGATGGTTCAAAGCCCGTGGACAGATGCCAGCACCGTCCGTCACCAGGGCCAGGCACAGAGCAAGCTGGTGGGCACGACGCGGGACCCACAGGTACATGAGCAGCCGCTTGGGAAAACAGTCTGGCAGGACCTCACAATGGTCAACACAGCATCACTGTGAGACCCGGCAACCACAGCCAGGAATCCGCATGAGACAGGAAGACACGTCCACATCTACGCTCACAACAGCACCGTTCGCACCTGCCATCAGCTGATGATGGAGAAAAACCGTGGCGCATCCACGACAAACTGTCATTCAGTCATGAAGAGGAATGAGGTCTGGCAACAAGGCTGCACCTCACACACGAAACAGGAAGTGAGTCCAGGAAGCCAGTCACAGAAGACCACCTGGGGCATCACCCCAGGGACATAAAAGGTCCAGAATCAGCCAATCTGGGGACAGAAGTGGGCTCTCAGATGAGATCCAGGGCTGGGGCTGGAGGGAGGAAGCTGGGTGGGGGCAGGGATGGGACCAACGAGAACAAGGACTGCGGGATCGATGAAATGTCCTCGTCTGGCAACTATAAATGTAGGAAACCCAAGGATGTGTGCACTGCAGACAGGCGAACCCCATGGTATACTCGTGACACCCCATGAAGAGTGAGCTGTGCGAAGAAAGACGACGAGCGGTACAGCCCCAGAGCGCAAGCGGGAAGCCCGCGCAGACGTCGGGGACTGGGCTGCAGGCGCCACCAAGTACTCCACGGAGGCGGCTGGGGACACAGAGCCTCACTCACACATCCTCGCCGGGGCAGCGGTCCCCATGGAGACGGGGCAGCACAGTCACGGCCACGGCACAGGGCTGCGTCTGGGAGCCGTCACCATCGGTGATCACAGTGGACACCAGGACTGGAAGGGACAAGCAGAGGTCAGCGGCCTGTGTCGGCAGAGAAACTTCTTCAAACGCAATTGCAAGGGAGAGACGGAGCCCAGAGGACCAGTCCCGACACCACGGGCCCACCTGTGTGCTGGGTGCTGACGGGACCCCCAGGAGGCAGAGCTGAGGCGACTCCACACGGAACAGGGCAGGGCGGGGAGTGCGTGCATAGCCGGGAGGGAAGCAGCCCGCAAAATGTGGTGGGGGCAGGCAGCCGTCGTGCGGAGGGTCAGGAAATGAGTCATGGCTCACACGCTCACTCCCTGTTACTGGCCTGCACTGTGTACCCGCGGCAGCAAATGCCATGGTGACCAGGACCGCCCGTCTCACCCTCCCTGCCTACTCAGGACTACAGTCAAGTTAAAAACGTGGTGAGTGCCGAGCGGGCAAGGCCAGTGAGGGGTCCGCAGACCCCGAGGTGCAGGTCCAGGCTGGTACTGCTGGAACCAGGGCCGAGGGAGGGCAGGGCTACGGCAGGTCCAGACGAAGGCGTGGAGAACCCCACTGAAGTCATTTATGCACAGACATGGGCAGGGCAGGAAGCGGCTTTTTGGGGACTTGGGAACTCCTTCTTGTGACAGGGCCAGGGTTTGTGGTGGGGGCCCTGCTGGGGAGGCGGAGCTGAGTCCTGCCCACCATCTGTCTGTCTGTCCAGGACTCACCTTGATAACCGTCCACGGGCTCCCCAGCTGGCAGTGCAAAGTAGTGCTGGGTGTCTGCCCCACGGTACAGGGTGTACTTGGAGGCGTTTCCTATCTGGTAACCAAACTCATAGCGGAAGTCCTGCGATCCGTTCCATAGTGAAGGAAAGAGCACAGGTGAGCAAACAGCATTACCCCCAGTAAGTCCTCACACCCCGTCCTCACCCACCCGAGGTCAGGCACAGATGGGCTGGGGCAGGTACACGCGATTGTGTCTGTCACTCGCGGCCGTGGGCCCTCCTGGCCGGGACCTGGGACAGTCACAGATGCACAGAGTGGGGGGGATGAGGCTGCACCTCTGCTTCCCTCTGGGGGACACAACACATGGGCGATGGGACAGGGCATTTGTGGGAAACCCCCTCAGCCAGGTAGGAGTGGTGAGTAGGGGAGGAGCAGGTAGGAGTGGTGAGTAGGGGAGGAGCAGGTAGGAGTGGTGAGTAGGGGAGGGGCAGGTAGGGGGGGGGGGTAGGGGGGGGGAGGGGGGGGGGGGGGGATGGAGGGAGTCCAACACAACATGGGGCAGGAGGACGCTCGCACCCCCAGCGTTTCATCAGAGGCAGACGGGGTCTGCGTGCTCACCGGTCTCCCCGACGTGCAGAAGACGCTGAAGACAGTGTCTGCCTCGAGGCCGCGGTGGGGCTGCACCTGGCAGGCCACGTCCCGCGGAGCCTGGTTGATGGTCACATACAGCTGAGCCTTCCCTAGAAAGCTGTGCCCCGAAGCTGCAGAGAGAGGGGGTGACACCTGCATGCTGGGAACCAAAGGCAGGCCCGGAGGTTCCCAAAGCGCAGACTGTGTGGCCCCCAGATCTGCGGCTTTGGCGTTGCTGTGACCTTGACAGACCGCGACCCCGGGGCCACCCCAACCTGCTGGGTCAGACCCAGAGGGGCCAGCAATCTGCACCAGCGCCTGCCTCAGGGGACACTGGGCCCGGGACCCCTGCCATGAGGCACCCACTGATGCAGTACCATTTGGGTGCTCGCTCGCTGGGGCAGCCGTGCCCGAGGCCCTGAGAGATTGGTGGACAGACGAGACCTGGGAGCCAGACAACAGCCTCGCAGGCAGAATCCACCCCCAGCAAACCAGACCCTCCATTCCCGCTGTGTGCAGCCCTGTCTGGAACACGCAAGTATCGCTGCTGACTCTACAGACAGGGTTTATATTTGGCTTCTATAAGCTGCACTGATACTGTAAATGTTTCCTGTGATGCCACACAGCATTCAAAATCAATGTCGTAAATAAGTATAGTAGAGTGGGGCCTTGACTTACGAGTGTCCCGACTAACGAGTTTTTTGAGATACCAGCTGTCTCTCGGCCGATTTTTTGCATTGAGTTGATAGAGTAATTTGAGTTAATGAGCTCGGTCTCGGAACGAATTAAACTCGTAAGTCAAGGCCCCACTGTATTCTCTAAACTGCGTAACGATTGTTTCCCAATGACTAAACATTTCATTTTCCATTACCCTGAAATGATAATTCTCATGCATAAAGTTGTTTTTTACTTTCGATGTCTTTTTCTTGAAATAAATTACAGGCACGAGTTACATGTGTTAAATTGTGTAAAACTCTGAGGACGCTGACTCTCATCCTAACAGCAGGCACGCGGCTCGGCTCCCCGCCAGGCCCCGGGGCCACCTACCCACCGCTGCCTGCAGGACGTATGTCTCTCCAGGGCGCAGTGAGTACGGCTTCACTGTCACCGTCTGTCCCGTGATCCCTGCGGAAAAGGAGGGGCGGGGACCACTCGTCAGGGCACCCCAAAGGCAGCAGCTCAGACACACCCTTCCTCGGCCACTGCAGCCGAAGGAGGCAGAGGTCCCATTGACCCTGCTCGTCTCACCCGGAAATGCCACGTCTGTTCGTTACCTCCGGCCCCTTATTACGAAGCACGAGGCTCATCTCTGCTCCCACTCAACAGAGTCAAACGGAGCCCAGTCCAGGGGCCGGTCAGAAAGGCCCTCACCTCCCAGGAAGGAGAGAACTCTGGGAAGAACGCTGTCCATGTATTTTGAGGAGGCCCCTAAACCAAGTGGGTCCCTTTCAAACGACATCCTAGTACAGTGGTCGGCAAACTGCGGCTCACGAGCCACATGCGGCTCTTTGGCCCCTTGAGTGTGGCTCTTCCTAAGCCTTAGGAGAACCCTAATTAAGTTAATAACAGGCTGAGACAAGTAAAACCTCAGGGATTCGGATGGCCTTGACCGCACTGACCCCCTACCCCGTCCAGCCTGGACCTGCTGGCATCCTGGATCCAAGCGATGGTTTTAGTTAAATGTGTGTGTCCGCACTGTAGTCCTTTCCCCAGACCCTGGGTCCTCATGGTCATGAGTTCAGCTTCTTCCCAACCCCCTAGCAGTGGTCGGCAAACTGCGGCTCATGAGCCACATGCGGCTCTTTGGCCCCTTGAGTGTGGCTCTTCCTAAGCCTTAGGAGTACCCTAATTAAGTTAATAACAGTGTACCTACCTATATAGTTTAAGTTTAAAAAATTTGGCTCTCAAAAGAGAAATTTCAATCGTTGTCCTGTTGATATTGGCTCTGTTGACTGATGAGTTTGCCGACCACTGGCCTAGTGTCTGCAGGAGCGGGAGGGACTCCTGGACCCGAGCGAGCTGTTGACCATGGGGCCCGAAATCTCAAAGAAAGAGGCTCACTCAGCCGCGCCATGCTCCTCGGGCAGCGTCCTGCACTCAGTCTGCAGGCCCGGGGCCCACACCCCAGCAGGCGCACCCACACCCTGGGAGGTGCACACACACCCTGGGAGGTGCACACACAACCTGGGAGGTGCACACACACCCCGGCAGGCATACAGGATGCGTGCACGAGGGGGCGGCACTGTCCTCTGTGCCTGTGCCTGCTCAGCAGCCTCTTCCCCTTACTTTGCAAAAGGGGGGACACCCGCAGGCCTGTGGCCACTGAGGGACGAGCACAACTAAAGAGGCATCGTGACCCCCAGTCTGTCTCTAGTCCAAGGAGAAGGCACAGGAGAAATGGGGGGAGGGGGAGGCTGGTGTCGGAACCTCTGCAACCTCTAAGATTCCAGGGCAGAGGGGCGCTCATACCGGACGTGGTGTAGCCCTGAAAAACAGCTCGGCTCACGGGGGACTTGGGCCAGTCGACCAGGAGTGCAGGCCGGGCACTGGCGGTCGGGAGGAAGGGGCCCACCAGGTTATCCCCATCCCCACGGCTCTCGTCCTCATTGGCACCGGGTCCCAACGCTGAGAGGTGCATGCTGGTCCCTAGGAGACACGCCAGGTCAGGGATGGCTGAGATAAAGGTGGCCATGGTTCCCTTAAAGTGCTAGTGGTTCAAGGGTGAGATCAGTGCTGCCCACTCTCTCGGGACCTGCTTGTCTAAACGTCTCCGACGGCACATAGGACGAATGTCACCCCGCACGATCAGTGGCTCTGTGGCATTTCCTCAGCTCACATGTGCTCGGGCCACGGAGCCAGGAGTGAGCCTACAGGAAACACCACAGCAGACGGAGCGGGCCCTGCCATGTGGACGTCTAGGGGAGGGTGTCGGGAAACACTCGAGGAAACACACCACGAGCAGAGGGAAGCCGGTGATGGAAGTGCCCTGGGGAGACAGAGCAGGCGCACGGAGGGGCTGGGACGGGCTGTTCTAGGGCTGGGTGGGCAGCCCGGGGGAGAGGCTCAGACAGAGGGAATGGGCTTTAGAAAAAGCTGCTCAGGGAGGGTCTGGGTATGGCCGGAGGGGGAGCAGGAAAGAAGAGAGGAGACCTCAGCTCCCTCCGTCGTCCCCCGTGTGGGGCCGGGAGGCAGGCCTGGCGTGCTGGGCCGGGCTGGGTGTGTGAGGTGACGGGGCCTCGGGCCCGGGCAGAGAGACAGTGTCTGCCTGTCCAGCGGGGGGGGAGGGGGCCGGGCTGGCTCAGGGAACGCCGACTTCGGACTCCAAACAAATGCCGTTAAACAAGGTGAAATGATAAAGTGGATCCATGCTGGGGTTAGAAGGACTGAACCATCAGGAGGAGGGACTTGTGGACGCAGGCCTTTCCCTCATTCAGCGTTATTTATGAAGCGCTGCTGGGAGTGTGAAGTGAGCCCCTCACGGGCCTGGGGGAGCAGAAGGAGCGTGGGGTGGCCAGAGGAACCAGCATCCAGGCAGATCAGGAGGACGGCCACAGAGCACAGCACAGTGAGTCGTAAACAAAGGGCTCACTGACCACCCATCGGGTCATGCGGTAGACAGGTCACTCTCACTCACTCATTATTCATTCAACAAACGAACTGTTCACGGTCGTGCATCTATTAAGCATTGTTCATGGGCTGGAGGAACCACTCCCTCCTGGTCATGCGTTGTCAGCGAGAACATGCCCACTGAGGGCCAATACAAGTGTACAGCTGCCTTGGAACCTTCCCTTCCCAGACAAGAGAGAGCTAAAGGAGTTCGTCGCCAACAAACCGGTATTACAAGAAACTTAAAGGAACTTCTTTAAAAGAAGAAGGGGGAAAAAGATCAAAACTATAAATAATAAAATGGCGGAAATCACATGTCTGTCAGCAATCACTAGGTGTACACAGATTAAATGCTCCGACCAAAAGATGTAGGATGGTGAATGGACAAGAAAGCAAGACCCTCACATGTGCTGCCTATAAGAGACCCACTCAGACCCACAGGTGCAGGCTGGGAGTGGAGGGTGGAAAAGATATTTCATGGAAATGGGAACTTGAAAGGCGGGGCAGCAGTAACTATACCAGGACATTTAAAATGAAGGCTATACCACGAGATAGAGAAGGACCAGCAACTCTACTTCTGGGTGCTTATCTGAAGAAGCCCAAACACTATTCAAAGAGACGTGTTCACTCCTGTGGTCACTGCAGTGTTTCTACAGGAGCCAAGGCATGCACGCAACTGAGTGCCCAGCAGTAGACGCGCATATAGGATGGAATATGACTCGGCCGTAGGAAAGGGTGAAATCTTGCCATTTGTGACAGCATGGAGGGACCTCAAGGGTACTGTGTTGAGTGAAATAAGTCAGACAGAGAAAGATAAATACCATATAATTTAAATTATATGTGGAATCTAAAAAAACAAATGAACAGAAAGACTCATAGATACAGAGAACATACTGGTGGTTGCCAGAGGGGAGTGGTTGGGGGATGGGTGAAGAAGGTGAAGGGATTGAGAAGCACAGATTGGCCCTGGCCGGTGTGGCTCAGTGGATAGAGCATCGGCCTGTGGACTCAAGAGTCCCGGGTTTGATTCCGGTCAAGGGCACATGCCCAGGTTGTGGGCTCTATCCCCAGTGGGGGCATGTAGGAGGCAGCCGATCAATGATTCTCTCTCATCATTGATGTTTCTATCTCTCTCCCTTTCCCTTCCTCTCTGAAATAAATAAAAATATATTTTTAAAAAAGAGAAGCACAGATTGCCTGTTACAAAATAGTCATGGGGCTATGAAGTATACAGCACAGGGAATATAGTCAATAGTATTGTAATAGCTATGAATGGTGCCGGGTGGGTACTGGAAATATCAGGGGGACCACTTAGTAAAATATATAAATGTCTAATCACTATGGTGTACACCTGAAATTCATGTCATATCCTCTGTCAACTAAAATGGAAAAATAAAAATTATTTTAAAACAAGAAACATGCCTTGCAGAGCAGAGTAGAGAGACAGAAAGAGCCCGAGGACAGTGGGGTGGGGGTACACACTCTGGGCTGGGGAGAGGCGGTGACAAGAGGAATCAGAGCCGCCCGGGAAGGGGAAGCTGTGAGGTGAGGCCTGGGAGGAGCGCCGAGGGAGGCCTGTTGGCAGATGCCGCCCATGTCCGAGGACGGGAGAGGGGCAGTGTCTGGGCCTGGGCTCCCCAGCAGGTGAGCTAGAAACGGCCAGACCGTGCCACCCAAAGGAGCGCAGACGGCCCTCGGCCTTGGAGCACTGGGAGGGGTGTGGGTTCAGAGGAGAGCAGACTCACAGGCAGCCGGCTGCCGTCCTCTCGAGGGCACCGCTTCTTGGACGTCACTGTAATAGGCCTCAAAGTCTGCGTGAAGGACAGAATGAGAGCGTTTCCCGTAAACCAGGCTCCCCTGAAACACACAGGACCCCGAGGGAGCACACATGTCGCCCTGGGCCACCTCAGGGCCCCAGCCCTGCTCTGTGGGCACAAAACCCCCAGAGGCCATGCCCGGCACATGGGACAGTGGGGAGGCAGTCACTGTCCCTGCTCCCCCAGCGAGTAGGGCTCCGTGTGGTTAGTTGGGGGGATGCCGAGGCCCAGAACTGTCCTCCAGGGGCCTCACTCTTGTCTCCCATGGGAGACACCAACAGGAGTGTCCGGCTGCCACTGTCACCTTTCTGTCCCCAGGCACTTCCCTCCTACACTTGAGGGGTTCATGGAGGCTCTCCCACCAACGACCCCAAGGCTGGGACTCTGGGGTGCAGGCCTTTGCCAGGGCACAGGACCATGACCCTGAGCGGCCACGCTGGATGGCGTCAGGGAGGGACAGGAGGGGCAGAGCCTGGATCACTGACAAGGAATGCCTCTCACCTTCTAGGCACCGAAATAGCTCCTGTCCCACCTGAAAGCGGGGACACCAGGCACCCGTGGTCATTGGGGAGGAAGGATGAGGAGGTGGTGTGGGCAGAGCCTGGCTCAGTCGACGCTCCCAGGTCCCGTCAGAGACGAACACCAGGCCGGGAGGGCACCTCCAGGGCGAGGGCAGGTACCAGTGAGGGGACAGCACTTACCAGGGGGGTGAGGGGTTGGGCTCCCCGGGGACCCCTCGTCCCAGGGATCCCCTTCTGGGGCCGCAGGGTCACCAGCAGCGGGAACTTGGGGTGCGGGGACCGTGGACTCCGCAGAGGCTCTCCCCGTGGCTGAGAGGTCAGCCCAGCCCAGGGTCCAGGGCCATGGCTCCCGTGTGAACGGCACAGGCGTGGAGTGGGGCTCTGCCCTGCGTGGCCCCAGGGACCGTGGGTAGGACTCGGAAAGCTTCGACACAGACCCCAATCCTGAGGAGCCCAGAAGCCCCACGGTTCTGCAAAAGGGAACTTGAACACAGAAGACATTTGGTTTCTCTACGTGTACAGATTCCACGAGCATGTTCTGTCCTGAACAACCCACCATGTGAAACTGCACCTAGAGGTGTCGCGGGGCAGCCCGGCTGCTGGGAGGCCGGCCCGTCCGTCTCCCCTGGGTTCGCCTCCCGCAGGCCTGGGCTAACAAGAGGGCCACTGAGAGGGCCCGCCACACGCTCTGCACCCCACTGGGGTGTTCACAAGGACGCTAGAAACTTCGGGGCACATGGAGCCTCTCCTGACCCGCATTCACCTGTCCATGCCGCAGAGTGCCGCAGGACTTAGGAAACAGGGTCAAGAACAAGGAACAACTTTGCAAGGACGTGGAAGCAGAGCCCACAGCCATGTCAGCATCCCTGTCGCCACGTGAGTCAGATTCTGTGAGGACAGGGCTGGGCCACACCCGAGAGGACGAGTGCCGGCCCTGGAGAAAGTGCAGCCACGCGGTGACCCCGCGCCCTGGGACACTGAGCACAGGCTTGGCTTCAGACCCACACGGTCACCGGCCAGATGGCACGCGACCCTCCGTGTCATCCTGTTCCTTCAACACGGGGCCACTGCCAGTGTGTAAGCTTCCCGTGGCGCCAAGGAAGCATAAACACGTGAGGCGTGTGGGCGGCACCGCCCTGCTGAGGGCCGCGAAGCCAGCCCAGAACATACCCCTCCGCTGTCCGGTCCACGTGGCCCCGGCACGACATCACCCCCGGCCCAAAGCCAGGAGCCTGCCACCCACAGGCCACTCCCGCCACCAGGGCTGTGTTCCCACATGTGACTTCTCGGGATTTCACCTCCTTGCAAAGTCTTAGGACCCACATTTTCCACCCAAGAAAAGAGTCTCAGAGCAGTGCTCCCATCACAGCCGGTGTGCGGAGGGAGGACCACCTTCCACGGCTCCTCTGCTGGACCCACGTGTGGCCCCGAGGACAGCAGGAGGGGAGGGACAATGGCCCCAGAAGAGTGGCGGGGGCGTGTGCTATTTCAAAGCGCTCAGTGCGTTTGTCACCCAGAGAGCTGCCCCAGCGGGTACGACACAGCCCCGCTGCCCCCAGGCTGAGAGCAGCAGCTGAGGCTCGTCGTCTCGGCTGTCACCACCACCCACCCAAGTGTGAAGCCAGGAGGGACTGGGGACGAATAGCTCATGGCCAAGAATAGACACGTTGGGTCAAACCAATTAGATCTCACACATTTTAGCAATCTCAAAATAACTGCTCAGCCAACAAAGCCAAGCATCGCATGCCCTCACTGGCTCGGCTCAGCGGGTAGAGCATCAGCCCGTGGACTGAAGGAGTCCAGGTTTGATTCTGGTCAAGGGCACATACCTCGGTTGCAGGCTCAATCCCCAGCCCAGGTCAGGTGCTTGCAGGAGGCAACCAGTCTCTCTCACATCCATGTTTCTCTCGGTCTCTCCCTCTCCCTTCCACTCTCTCTCTCTCTAAAAAAATAAAATGAAAAGGAAGCTGGTCTGTACCTTCCTCTTTGTCCCTTCCTGTCGCGTTGACCAAAAAGAGGTCCCAGGAGTAAGAGAGGGCCGCCTCCCCGCAGTCTTCACAAGCCGCCCGCAGCGAAAGCTCCTCGTTCCAGTTCACAGGGATGCCTCGGAATGTCTCCCAGGAGATGTGCACACGCCTGCAACGTGCAAACCAGGCCGGAGCTCCAGAAAACAGGGTGAGACGCTCTGGCAGCATTTTCCAGGTCAGGTCTGTTCAGATCACCTGGTCCCAGGGGCCGACGCACCACCTCACCCCACCGCTCAGGGAGGCTGAGCGCTTCCCCCAGGAAGCCTCTGGAGCTCGCCCAGCGCGGGCTGTGACCACGAGGTGTTTTTATACAAGTAACTGCCCAGACCCCCTGCAGGGTCCAGGGACGGAGGCTGCCTGCCCGGTGTCCCGCGGAGCTGAGGGCACTAGGCGGCACCCACCCCCGCCCACCGGAGGCCAGAGCAGCTGTGGCACACGCCGACCTGCGTTCAGGGTCTGGGGCTGGGCGTGGCCCTGCCCACCTGCCTTCAGGGGCTGGGGCTGGGCGTGGCCCTCGGTGCCCGTGGCCTCCGTGACGTCACACTCAGCTGACAGGTGCCTCCCCCCTGTGGGCCCACGGTGCCCAGTGGTGCCTGGAGGCCAAGACAGAGGCCCCGAGGCACTCAGCCTTGCCTCGGAATGTCTCCCAGGAGATGTGCACACGCCTGCAACATGCAAACCAGGCCGGAGCTCCAGAAAACAGGGTGAGACGCTCTGGCAGCATTTTCCAGGTCAGGTCTGTTCAGATCACCTGGTCCCAGGGGCCGACGCACCACCTCACCCCACCGCTCAGGGAGGCTGAGCGCTTCCCCCAGGAAGCCTCTGGAGCTCGCCCAGCGCGGGCTGTGACCACGAGGTGTTTTTATACAAGTAACTGCCCAGACCCCCTGCAGGGTCCAGGGACGGAGGCTGCCTGCCCGGTGTCCCGCGGAGCTGAGGGCACTAGGCGGCACCCACCCCCGCCCACCAGGAGGCCAGAGCAGCTGTGGCACACGCCGACCTGCGTTCAGGGTCTGGGGCTGGGCGTGGCCCTCGGTGCCCGTGGCCTCCGTGACGTCACACTCAGCTGACAGGTGCCTCCCCCCTGTGGGCCCACGGTGCCCAGTGGTGCCTGGAGGCCAAGACAGAGGCCCCGAGGCACTCAGCCTCTGTGCGCGTGGGAGACGGGCTCAGACACCGACAAACCCACTGTGC